AAGGAGAACGTGGTGGGGAGGTGTTTTGAGGGGTGGGTGACGGTGTACGTGCCAAAGGGGATAAGGGGATATTGCCTGCGGACTTCCGGCGGGGGGAGCGGTACTGGCGCTGCAGTTTGGGAGCCAGACCATGCAAAGAGCTGGGTCTGATCTGTCCAGAACTGGCAGGAGAGTTTGGCACACTGGAGCTAGGTGAGCTACTTTGGGATGAGTTCCCACCAACTGCATTAGAGAAAGAGAAGTTTCAAGTTTAAAGATTAACCTTATTAAAGAAATATGAAGATGAATGAAATGGCTTGAGACATGATATTGATTACATTATGGGAAACTAATTACAATATTGTCTGTAGACTCCGCAATGTTAAATTAAATGAGAACATGATTTGACACAGCAATTTGTGTATAAAATCACATTGGCAGTAGTTGGTTTGTATGATGTATATAAAAATATTAAATACTGTTTGCTACTGTGATTACTGTTTTGATATAAAAGATAAAGGCTTCACCTGAGTGGGCAGAGTCAGGAGTGGAACGACAGCCCTGCGTGGGTGAACGAGGGGACATGTGCGTGGGAGACCCTGGGACACTTTCACCTGATGAGACTGAGCGGTTCAGAGAGGACAGGCTACGACTGGTGTGGAGAAGGGTCGCTTGCTTGGTGATCTTACGAAACAGGGAGTTTCTCTTCTTACTGTAGTAGATAAGTATATACAAACCATTAATGGGACAGCAAATGTAAGCCCGAGGAATTGAAATCAGAAGAACTCTGTGGGACATAGGTATTTGGATTTCATGGTAAATGTTAAACTTCACCTATCTTGTCCTTCTCTGGTTTTGGTTCTTTTGTTGCGCCGTGCCATTTTGGACTTGTAGCTGGTTTTGCGTGCAGGGCCAACCTTAATAGATGTATTCTCAAAGGGCGTAGCAGAAATGGACACCTTACTGCCACTCTGCAACATAAAAAGAAATTATCCTGAATATCAATAATTTCTAAAGCAATAATGCTCATCAGATTGTGGCTGTCGACGTACTTTGAGAATGAGCTCTACAACGTCTGTGTGCACGAGTCCATGGACAGGCTCTCCATTAACATGTGTGATGAGATCTCCCTCTTTCAGTCCAGCCTCATGAGCAGGTCCCCCATCCTCCACGTGCTGCAAAGCCATATGTTAGAGCACTCAAAACCACAAATTGGTGCAGTCTAGCTGTATCATGGAGAATAACTGGATCTGCTGTACTCACCCAGACCATGTGGTGCACAGTATAAATGTCTGTGTCTCCCATGTAAACCCTGATGGCACGCAGGGTGAAACCATATTTCTTGCCGGCTCGGTGAATGACTATGGCGGGTTTGACACTGCAGATGGCTGGGGAGAGGTCTCGGCTAGGCGAGGAGTCACGTGATGAGGGGTTGGACGAGAGAGAATGAGGGGACATCGGACTGGCCAAAGGAGAGGCACCATGGTGATCTGAAAAACAAGAAAAAAATAAATTGCACCTCAGTTAAAGTGTGATAGACCGCCACATACATTTTCTTCCAAAAGATAGAGACAGCCAATACAATAAAGTGACTAGTAAGACATGGTCCATGTTCGTCCTGGCACAATATTTTTATTAACAAATCATAAGGATTGCAAAATAATTAGGATTGTTAACCTATCGTCATATCATCCTATTGTTTAAGGACCAACAAAAGAACAAGTCTTGCATGGCAAAATCATGATGATCAATTATTTGTACTTACCAGCAGGGATCATGAGTGAAAGTGTAGTTGCTGAAGCGGACTTGATGACTTTGTTAAGTGGGCGTGACGTGTGTTTCTCCATATCTCCTGACAGCAGTCTGTGGCGAGCTCTACGAGCTGCTAAATCACTGATGGCTTTAGGAGTGGAGTTTTCAGATCCTTCAGCACTGTAGCGAGAAGCTCGATCCAACACATCACCAGAACCACCAGCTGAAATCACACACACAAAAATTATAGATATATCTACAGAAAATGGCAAACTCTCAGAATGGACCAATATGTTGTTATTTGAAATCATAAATCCTATTCATTTTTGTGTTTTTACACCTCATTAAGTCTAGGGCCTTAATAATACATAGTCTTAAAAATATTTTTAACATTTTAAAATACTAGTCCCCAGAATAATTCCACAAGACTGACGTGTGAGTGTGGAATGGCTGATCTGTCTGGAAGTGGAGCCTGGTGTGGTTGGCGATTCATCCAGTCTGAGCTCTCTCTCCACAGGGAGCTCTGGTATGGCCTGAGGCAGATCTTCCCCCCGAGGTCCCCTCACATGGGTCTTCCTGCCCCCCACACCACCATCCTCTTCGCTGGAAATGGCGAATCGAGGCATTTCAATGATGGCCGAGCAGCAGCGGCGACGTACGGTCAGAGGTGGGCTGGAGTCGCTCTCGGTGTGAGATGACTCGGAAACAGAGAGTCGCTTCCTTAGGCTACAAAAGACCAAATGACCAGTTCATTACACCATGTTGAACAAACATAGCTGTATATTTTTCAGAAATATCTGACTATGAAAACTATGATTTATTTATCAGAATAACTTCAGGTGTTTCACTCACATCTCAGGTGAGCCCACCAGCCAGCTCCGGTCTCGAGACTTTAGGCCACTAAGACTGTCGATACGCTCTCCTCCCTCTTCACTCAGACTGCGTTTAGTGGGAGGAGGGGTGCGCTTCTCCTCATGCAAGGAAAGACGCTCCATACTACTATACACCTAAAAAAGGGAGTGATGGAGAGAATAAGACAGATTAAGTTATAAACAGTATAAACTGCTGAGGACACTAGATTAAATTTAAAATTAAGCAGAACTGATACCATGTCTTTATAATTATAACTTCTATTTTGCTATCCTATATATGCTATCCATATGCCCTATTATACTTCACCCTGCTTTGAACTACTGTATACTACTTGGCATAATTATTTATTTTGATTATTATTAATACATAAACTATTAATTGAATGTCTTATATCATTGTTTTTGCTGTCGTTAAGAGTGTTAGCATGTGTTACTTCACACCTTGCTGAATCGTGGTGAACAGGAGGAGAACTGACGGATCTCCAGATGGTCATCATCATTTGTGTCATCCTCTTCCTCCGAGTCCACGTGATGATACCGATCTGAGCGTGCTAGCGGGTCGAAGAAAGAGATTTCAAATTGTGCTTTAGAGAATGTAGGCCCATGTGGTGTGCATCTGTATTGCAGGTAGAGAATAATGTATCTTGTTATAAACTTCACTACAGTCCCTGCTGCCTGAACACGTACTGTCAAAGTAGCTAGTGTCATCCTCCGACTCCAGCTGAGGAATGAACTCTGCCTTCTGCCTCAGGAGACTGTTCCAGTCCAGATCAGTAAAAAAACGGTGCTGTTTCACCTCAAACGCACTCCCTGTGGGACAGGGAAAGAGAAGATCTCTTCAAATATTTCTCAAAAAACAGAGATATAGGATAACATTAAAGAAAAAATCTTCTTAAGATTTTCTGTTCAGGTTTATTCATACACTATTAATCTCAGCAGATCAGTCAAGTCACTCCTCTAAGACTAAACCAGGGAATAGATCAAGTCAGTCTGTGCAAGTAAGTGTGAGTTTGTGCGCTAGAGGACCTGTTCCCAGACGCTCCAGAGGGTTTTGCCGCAGTAGTTTGGAGATGAGATCTTGAGCATCTGGAGGCAAAGCTTCATCACCTTCTGGCCAGATTATCTCATCTATTCAACCACACATACAGAATCATATTTCTGGAAGGACTCTCAACAACATCAGAATTAGGTTCACAGGTCAGATTTCAGAGCATTTTTATATCTTAGACAGATGACACAAGAATAGGCTGATTTTAGGAGTCTATTAAGTTTTTCAAAATTAATTACTGACCGGTAAAGAAGATTATCATTGATTAGGAAAGACGATTAGTAAGACTAATAATGATAATTGACATCACATAACATACAAGTCAAAAGTTTGGGCACTCATGTTTGCATAATATATGCAATGTTTCTCATCATGAAATTTTTAAGAAAAGAATGTTTTTTTGCACTTTCTTCTAGACACTAACCACTGATGACTTGTCCAAACAGCTCCTCAGGCGTATCCCCAAAGAAGGGAGCACATCCCACGAGAAACTCATACAAGATAACTCCCATGGCCCACCAGTCCACTGGCTTTCCATAGCCCTGCCTCAGAATGACTTCAGGAGCTATGTATTCAGGAGTACCACACACCTGATGGAGAGAGAAAGAAAGAGTATCCTTTTATTAACAAAAATAAATAAATACATTAAAAAAAAAAAGCATGAGACAAAATACAAAGTTTCTGTACCTGTTTGTCCAGAAATTCACGGGCATCTTTTTCAATGTGGCCCTCATATAGATTGGTTGTTAAGCTCATTAAACCAATCTTGGACAGGCCGAAGTCTGTCAGTTTGATGTGTCCCATTGATGTAATCAGCAGACTGTTGAAAAACAGGCCATTCTTTATTCTGACATCAGTGAATATAAAAAGGCCATCCATCCATCTAAAAAAATTGCGGTCTAAACCAAAGCCAACTGATCTGTTATCAAGCATGTTTTTGCATTCTTTGAAAGTGAGATGGAATCTAAAGGACAAATAAAAAAAAAGTCAACTACAAGCACAGTGGGTTGGTGTTACGTGTGTTTACTTGTCAGGTTTGAGGTCTCTGTGCACAATGCCATAATTGTGAAGGTATTCCAGTGCTAGAACAGTCTCAGCAAAGTACATGCGTACCATGTCCACAGGCAGAGCCCCAATGTGCTTCAACAAAGTGGCACAATCTCCACCTTCAGACACACATAAACACTTTCAACTACAGCATCACTCTGTGGTGTATCCTATACTGAAATCCTCCATGAACGTAGTCACCCAAAGTTGTACAAGTGTTTCTTACCCTCCACATACTCCATAACCATGCAAAGATGTCTCCTTGTCTCAAAAGAACAGAACATACTGACAACAAAAGGGTTCTCTGCAAATGTCAGGATATCTCTTTCCACAAAGGCCTGCTGGATCTGGTTTCGCAGGATCAGGTTCTGCTTGTTGATCTTCTTCATGGCAAATCGCTGACGGGTCTCCTTATGCCTCACCAGAAACACAGCCCTAAGTGGAGAGAGGTATGCATCACTATTAAGCTTCTAACTGTTTACAATTATTAAAGACAGAGTGATGGAGAGCCAATAGATAATGACAAATTTCAAAGGTTTTAGCATTTTTTATCATTGATGTGACAGTGAAATCCTGTTGTCTTACCCATAGACTCCATTACTGATGAGTTTAATGGTCTCAAAGTCTTCCTCACGTGGAGTTTTAGTTTTGGGTTGAGGCTGAGGCTGGAGTGGTTGTACGGTGGGTCCTCGACTCTGGACATGAACACAAACACTTGGTCTTAGTTGAATGTTATTGTACAGAGTCGACAGAATCATTGAAGACTTCTCAATTCTATTACACACATCTGTGGAATCTGTCTCTGTCTCTGGCGTTTCAGGGTTACCGCTGTCATAGCTGCTCAGCTGGGCCATTTCTAGAGAGCGAGAGCAAAAAGAGGGAATGAAAGTGAGCAGGTGTCATTGAAAAACATCATAAAGTCATTGTAGTTCCTAATTTAGTACTGCAAAACAAATAATAACAGAGTTGCTTCATACAATCCCCAAAAGTTTTTGGACACTTATGTCACACCTAAAGATGTATGCCAATGCATTAGATAACAAAATATCAAACCAACTAGCATTTATTTTCTGCAGATGCCACAGTCTGAATTTTTTTTTTTTGTATCTCATACAATTTTTAAGTATAGCTTAGTGTTCATATGCTTTTGAGGCCACTGTAGGTAGCATTCCTACCCTCAAGGGGGTCCCTGGTGAGGCCCAGCTGGCTGATAATGTATCGAGGGATGTCAGACTTGATGCCCTGACCTTCTTTAGCATGACCTTCAGCAGCCTCCAACAGGTGGTAGAACTCCTCTGGATTAAACTCCTACAACACACACAAGGAGTATGAGGTTCACATGATATGAAGATTAAAATTTGACATCAATCCCCAATCATTTAATTTATTCTAGAAATGTTACTCTTTAACAGGGGTCGGGAACCTTTTTTGACCAAAGAGCCAATTTTTTTTATTTTTGGTTAATGCATTTTTCCAAAAGAGCCAATATATAGTGTTGTCACGGTACCAAAATTTCAGTATTCGGTACCAATACCAGTGAAAATCCACGGTTCTCGGTACCAATTTCGGTACCAAAGCAAAACACAAAAACATGCTAATTAAAAAATTTGACTATACTTTCATTTAATCCAAACTGTGTACATATTTAATTTTAAAGGGCTTTTAAAACCTTCTAGAGTTATTCAGCTAAGAATAACAACTAAGTTAGCTAAAAAAAAAGCCCAGAACTGCTTTTCTGACTGATATGACACAAACAAAGTTAACCATTTGTACATTCTCTAACACGCATATTTTTCGATTCACAATTCATTTAAAAGCCTCTGGTGTGTAAAAATAGTAAATATCATCATGTCCTCCTGTTTTTTAACCATAATAAAAGTTATAGGAGCATTAATTAGTTAATAAAGAAACTTCATTCTAATGCTCATTATATTAGCGTTAGCCGCGCTTATGCTAACGATTAACTACTCTAATAACAGC